ATATATATATATATATCTCAGTACAAATAATTACATTAATTCTCGGAAATATTACAATATTGCAAAAGAAAGCCTTATAAAAGGCAGCATAATTCTTCTTTTGGAACAACCTTTGTGTGTCTATGATGCTTTAAAATGCTGCCTATGTAGGAAGCACACTAGGTTCTGGAACATAGCAATTGTTACCACTACAAAATCGTAAATTAATATGGCAACACCTTAAAACCGTGTAAGATGCTTTCAGGATCTTTCTGTAAAGTTGTCCATAATGCAAAATACCACAGTCACTATGGTATTTTGATGGTAATATTTGTAAAGAGATCTTTGTTCTATAACACGAAAAAGTATTTGGACAATAGTCAAAAAAAGACAAATGGCGTTTAAATTGGCTGAAATTCAGCTTTGATCACAGAAGTAAATTACATTTTAAATATATTAAAATAAAAAAACTGTTATTTTAAATTGTAATACTATTTCACAATGTTTACTGTATTTTGATCAAATAAATGCTGCCTTAGTGAGCGTAAGAGACTTTTAAAAAACATTTACAAATCTTACCTACCCCAAACTTTTGTCTGAACTCTCGCTGTAAGTGTCTATATACTTCTTGGAGATCACAGACCTGTTGAGGTGCGTCTGCGGCACAGATCCGGGCGCAATTAATCGCCATGATCCATCACGACAATGATCCTTCCCCCCGTCACATCAAACTCGGAAATTATTCAGTGCCCTTTCACCGACGGAGGAGCCCGGCAAGAACAAATGGCTTCTTATCTATGCAATTTCATTTGCATCATTGTTGCAAATATAATGCCAGGACTCCCGGCGTCAGCGTTCAGTATGCATTAAACAATGCGACTGGAAAGGACAGGCCTGTTCCCGGTTTAATTTTAGAGAAAATAACCTGTGCACCTCACGGAAACTGATTGGGCTGGTGTGGGCGAAGGCGTCAGATGGAGATAGTGCTGGCAGGCCTCAGGCTGGCCTTTATTAAAGCAGAATAATGGAAAATGGCATCATTAGCATTCCTTGACAGTTAATGATTCAATTTGGTTTGATGAGAATTCAAATATTGGCTTCCAAACGCGAACTGACAATAAAGTGGTAGATGTTCGACTGATTCGGGATGCAGAGGGCAGTCGATGGTGGACCGCTGCCATTGTAATCAGCGCTTGCTAATTTCAAATAGCTGATGGTGTGGACGAAAGAACGCCGCTTTTGCAATATATTGTTTTGAACTGCGTTTTATTGTTAGGGTAATGTGGCATATCAATCGTTTTAATGTTCCCCCAATGAGGAAACTGGAAATGAATGAAACTACTTTTTTGAAATGAAACTTCTTATCTCATTCAACAACACAAACACGATGCTACGCAAAGCCCTCGGGGCTGTGAGAGGTTTATCTGCTCGTCCATGTTGACAAATTGTGCCTAACATCAATAACATCATAAAAGATGCGATTTAAAAAAAAAATGTGCTTAGCTGGACCAACAACAAGACCTTCAGAAATCAAATCGAAAAATATGAAGGCACAGTAAACCATGTAATGTCATATTTGGAGGATGTACACTACCGGGCAAGGATTGGAATAATTAATATTTTTTTTAAATAAAAAATTTAAAAGTCTCTGATGTTCGCCAAGGCTACATGCATTTGATTGAAAATACAATAATATTTTGAAATATTTTCACAATTTAAAAACTATACTCCAGTCTTCAGTGTCACATGATCATTCAGAAATCTTGTGGCTAAATTATTATTATTGCTTTATGATAATGGCTCTAATTATTATCAGTGTTGCAAAACAGTTTTTTCTGTTTGTTTGTTTTTTTGTGGAAATCATGATGCATTTTTTTCAGGATTCTTTGATGAACAGAAAGTACTAATGAACAGCATTTTTTTTTATACAATTTTTTAACATTATAAAATGTTTTTACTGTCCGATTTGATCAACTTGATGTGTCCTTGCTGAATAAAAGTATTAATTTCTTCTTAATCTTACTCCAAATTTTAAAGGGTAGTTATTATGAAGTTATGATGAAGTTGCATCAAGATTTCCACAAAAATATCAAGCAATTAATATTAATAATGTTGAAAAC